GAGCAAAAGTGGTGGGATCAGTATTAAAGATGATTAGCTAGGCAATCATATATCCATACAATTTCATGTTTACTTATGAGTATAGATAAGAGGTAAGATAGAACCGAATGGTCATCTTGACCGAGTGTCAACGTGAAACTTTTACAAAAATGAGTTCCAGCCCTGATGATGTTCATCGGATGATGAAGGAAAGCTCAGTCCATTTGCACCAGAACCGAGCGAGGATTTCTCGTGAACTTGGTCCAAACGGCTTCAGTACAACGCGATTCAGCCGTCCTTTTCTGGGGAGATAGACCTTTGAATCGCTTCACCACACACTTTTATCTGAAGTGCAGGAGCGCTCAAAAATGATAGACCAATGGTACCAGTCGGAATTCATCTTCATGTTTTGCATTCAGAAGCATCGTTTTCCTGTCCACGAGTGAAAAGCGGGAGCAAAGGACCTTGAAGAGGTGGACTGGTGGAGACATTCCTAAATAGCTGAGGGAAGTGCATCGTGATAAAAAGTTCTTATGAACTAAAAAAAAGAGTCGCTTTTTTAACATTTTTATTATCAAGAACACCAACCAAGAAACAATGCGAATAAGACCAGATACAGCGAGATGCTCAAGCCACCAAGACAACGACAAGCTCTCATCCGAACGCCTCAAAAGAGGTTCCGCATCGCAAATAAAAAATGATTCAAGACCACCAATTGCCAACGGATTACCGAAGCTACACAAAGAAGGCGAGTGACTAAGGCTGATGGTCAACAACAAGTATGAAGCAACACACAACTTGGCAAAGTTTATGTCTGAAACTCAAGAAAGTAAAGGACAGACTATCAAACACAGTGAGGCATTCATATGAATTTTCTCAAACGAAGAAGAAACCGAAGTATCGATAAGTTCTAATTCACACTCTATGCACACAAATATCTCTAAAGAAAAGGGGCAAACAGCCCTGCTGGAAATCCTGGACCGAGGGGAGGATAATCTGGAAGCAGAAAAGATTAGGAGGGAGTCGTCAACACGCCTGATCAACTTGACAATAAGGACTACATATTTCAACTTCAACAGCAACCTCTATCAACAGACATTCCGACTTCATATGGGATCACTTTTCACGGCTCTATTGGCAAATGTAGACATGGACAAATTAGAAGAGAATTTCATTGCTGCACTCAACAGGGCTTTTGCGGTACTTTGCACTTTGGTCGGACGGAAGGGAAAAATTGTAGCATGTCCTGAAGGCTACAAGCCAGATTGGTGAAAGAATCAAGTTGTCAATGGGAGTAGAGGAGGAGGGGCGTTTACCTTTTCTGGATGTTCGAGTCATTTGCTCTAATGGGGCAATCAAGAGGAAAGTGTTTATGAATACTGAGCAGCACGATCATCAGAAAGCCACGATTAAAAGACGTGAAATTCTGGGGCCAAGAATGGGAAAAGTTGATTTGGGTATGCCTTGGCAACGGCTAGCTTTTTGCGAGTCAAATGAAAGACTACGGTTACTATTTAGAAGATGGAATATTCAGGTGGCCACGAAGGAAAAAGCAGCACTCTTCACAAGGCTACATCTCATTAGACTGATTTACTGGTAGTCTCAAAACCCTACTCTCATACGAATATAAGTAACGTAGTCGATTGCTATGGCAAACATACGTTTGCTTCATCAGCACTCCCACCAAAAGAATATGATATAGCAAAGATTCCTGACCTTACTTGAAATTCACTTATGCT